TATCGTTGCCGCCGCTGACTACTCCCCGAATCCTGATCATGCAGGAGCCAGTCACCGTCGACGCCCTAGACACGTCCTTACGGATCCATCAGATCCAATAACCTTTGCATTAGATGCCTTCAGCTCTAATACTAGGGGCAGGCTTAGGGACCCCGGTAACCGTACTCGTCGAACTCGACAAAGAGGTCGACGTGCAACCTAACCCATGCATCAGCCCGCTGAGTTTCTCGCCGGATCTTCTCAGCGGGTCGCGATTCCGATCCGGTAGTAGATTCATTCGCGAAACAATTGCTCTTGAGTTGTTAGGTCTCCTTCGGAGGCGCTCGGGCAGTTGTTAGCAAATCCCACCCCTCTTGGCTGAGCCTTTGCTCGCCCACCTGTCCTGGTGAAACTGGAAAGGCCTTCGGGCCACCAGTAAACTTTCAATCATAAAAAAAAAAAAAGTTGTATTAGCTAGCCTTGAATGGTTGTAACAGCGTAACCCGACGATGGTTCCAACCATTAGAAATCTTTCACTCGTAGTAAAGATTTCTATAGAACGGGACTTTTAATTTTTGGTTAGTGATGCCCGACGTATCGCTATGCTCACAGATCGTATTTAAAGTTCAAACATTTCTTTGTATCGATGTTGTAAATGCCATATTCGACTTTTGTTGTAAAACTGTTAGTTCTATGTTGACGGTATTAATGTCGCAAACACATAAGTATTTGAGAGCTGTAGTACTAAGATTTTGTCAAGAATAAGCCATTGCTGTCCGGTGCATTGAATGATCTGATTTTTCTATCTAGCAACCGTTCTCGTAATTATTGTTCCAGAATATCGTCGTCAAACAGATAAAAACGCATCACGATGTTCTAATCATAGATTGATTGATTGATTAGAATTGTTTAAAAATCTATCTTCTATTCAAATTATCTCAGATCCCTGCGATACATTCAGTAAAAACAGAAATTTTATAACATCAATTTAATCATACAAGTTGTGCTGAAAACCAGGACATCAAACTCCTAATTATGCTAATATCAATAATTAACTAAGGAAGACTTAGTTAGATTAAAAACGGTTTAATTTTAATCTGGAGATGAGATGAACCTTAAAGTCATACAATATTACGCAGCTCTCATCAGGTCGGAGACAATGTCATGTATAAATTCCAATTCTGAATTCCGATCTGGACTTGTCATAATTATAGCTGTGCAAAAACAATAGAAAGAAACAGAAAATAATAAAATAATAAGATAATAGAAAAGAATAAAAAAATAATAGGATTCAGGACACAGAGTTCATTCGCCGCGGTATCACACAATTACAGTTTGAGTTAGCCGAGATGAAGTCTGCCCTAGTGGCAGGTCATGCGTTCACAAATGACTATGTGGCCGAAGCTGAATTTCGAAGAAGTACTACCGCGTACGTCACTTAAGGTTTCAATTGATTCCAGGAACAATATTTGCTGTAGTTGTGTTGAGCAATTACTTGAAGTGGCACGACGCCCTGCTGGGAATCACGTCTACGATAAGTAAGATTGCGTCATCGTTTGTCTATTGCTTCGCGCCGAACGCGCAAATCTTATATATAGGTAAGTGAAGAATCTGGTATTAACCGATATAAAAAAGGGTGCGTATACTTATGTACGCGCGTAAGAAGTTATAGTTTATTTTTATTAATTTATTTCTTTTTTTTTTTAATATTAAATAATTAATAATAAATATTTAACGTTAATAATTTAATAATATTTAGTATGAATTATATTAAATAATAATTTTGTCATTTATCTATACTAATATTATAAAGAGGAAAGATTTGTTTGTTTGTTTGTTTCGAATAGGCTCCGAAACTACTGGACCGATTTGAAAAATTCTTTTTCCATTAGAAGCCGACATTGTCCCTGATGAACATAGGCTACTTTTTTTATTTTATTTTTTATTATTTTGTTTTGTTTCATGTGTGTTTTAATGTTTCCGAAGCGAAGCGAGGGCGGGTCGCTAGTATTACTATAAAATGAAAGCTAATAACACTTTTTTTACGAGTGTGCATGTGCGAAAGTTCACCTGCGGCTATATTCAGACTCGCCAAGCTACGTCTGTCGTATTGTAATGAGCGATTTAGTGGGCAACTTCATTCTGTTAATTTTGTGTCACGGTGCGCGCGCAGCGTAAAATTTCACTCTCATCAATTTTTCATAACGCGCCTAAAGAAGTATAACTTCAATAAATATTTGATGTAAAAAAATAAATTCAGGGATTTACTGTATTTAAAATCTTCGCGGCCTAAATGATAAGAGAATGCATTCGTAAACCGATGCGAATGTGCCGGTGTTCGAATCCCGCAGATAAATAAGAAGAAGTCAAAGGTTGTATGAAAAGAGGGATAGCCATTTCCGAAGCTATAGTCCAAAATAATGTCGGTAGGAGCATAAGTGGAGCCAATAGACTCAGTAACCACTCCACTTGGGCCGTGAATCCGTCTGACCTACACGTCTACACAAATAAAAACATTTCTTTTCCAGCACCGGTTGTGGACATTCTGAACGGAACTGCAATGCTCGCAATAAAATCGATGTATTCAAAGCTGGTCGAGTCAAATGAAATAGGTAAATAATTGGTTGTCTTTAAGGTCCGTTTACGGATGATAGTTTTTCGTGATAACGTCAATAGCAGAACTATTCGATCTGCTAGCTCTGACGTCACGCGAGAAGAGATACATATGTCACAAGACAACGCTTGGGCCGATCGTGCCTCTCTATCGTTTGTTCCGGGCTCTCACTTGCACGCTCAGGCCTACGCAGAACGTGACACTTTTTTGTGCGTGCAGCCGGTGTTCGTCGATTTATAAGACGTTATCACGTCAAAACCAATTCAGTCAGATCCTTACAATTTTTTTCTTTTCTTTTTTTATTGCATAGATGGGTGAAAGAACTCACAGCCCACCTGATGTTAAGTGGTTACTAGAGCCCATAGACATCTACAACCTAAATGTCGCCACCCACCTTGAGATATGAGTTCTAAGGTCTCTGTATACTTAGAACGGCTGCCCCACCCTTCACACCCAAACGCATTACTGCTTCACGGCAGAAATAGGCAGGGTGGTGGTACTTACCCGTGCGGACTCACAAGACGTCCTACCACTAGCAAAAACTTAATAATTACAATACAAATTTTATCCGTTATCTAGACATGGTCGGTACATAAGTGGTTACCGGAACCAGCGGACATTAACAACTTGAATTCTGGACGGCTGATAAAGGGGTTATCTCAGCGTAACCGGGCGAGTCGACCTCATATGATATGGTACTGCAAAGACAAAGTAATGAGCGCGTGAGCATTAGCATATCATCTTCCTCACTGAATCGCATTCCTCATGTCTGAGGGTCGTGGCTATCTCCTCCCATTATCCTTCTCTGGATGATGTGTCACCATCTTCCTCTGTTCTCGGCGGTATCGTAGACTATTGTATGCAGAGTTGTACGGATTTGGTCAGACCAGCGTATCGGATTGCAGCCACGAGACCTTTTGCATATCATAAAATCTTCAAATCTATTTCTCAGTTTTAATGTCGGGAACGTAAACATCAGTACCATTTTTATGGCTTAAATAAACGCGAGATTAAGCCGTTAAAGTATAACAGTGATTACTTTACTGGTGGTAGGACCTCTTGTGAGTCCGCGCGGGTGGGTACCACCACCCTGCCTATTTCTGCCGTGAAGCAGTAATGCGTTTCGGTTTGAAGGGTGGGCCAGCCGTTGTAACTATACTGTTGTAACTCATATCTCAAGGTGGGTGGCGGCATTTAAGTTGTAGATGTCTATGGGCTCTAGTAACCACTTAACACCAGGTGGGCTGTGAGCTTGTACACCGATTTAAGCAATTAAAAAAAAAACTTATTAATATTTTTTGTCTCTAAAGGTAAACTGAATTCAATAGTCGGTCAACTTGAAGTCATGATGCCGTTAATATACGTTACAATGTTTACGCAATTGTATACGGCTACTATGGACGTCCTGCCGGGAGCAATATTCCTGCTCGGAGCAGGACTGACTCTTCCTTCCATCTTCGTATTCATGTGAGTGTGAAAAACGTTAAACTTTCAGTTAACTTCAAACTTCCGCTAATGTAAGCTGCCGCAATGGCTCATAAATCAGATCCCATTGCCAATCGTGAGTACGCATAGCTTGCAATATACTCTGTAACTAGAAAAAAAAAAGTTTTGACAATCCCTGTCATAAAGAGCCGGGAAATAATGACGTATTTCCGTACACCCTACGACTAAACCGGCCTTTTTATTGAGATGTCCAATCACGATAATAATGTGATTTAAAAATTATTTATTATATTAATACTATAACCGTATATTTAATATATATGAATAATAAATGGTTAAAGATATTTAAGTATTTATATCCTTATAAATTTATGTCGCTAGTTTCCAGTTTGGTTTCCTTGACTCTAATTTGGGACCAAATGACCGTATGAGACTATTCCCCTAAATTTTTTTTTCTATTTCTCCAGATGGCTGTATTGGCGTCACAGGAAAGATGTACAAAAAGAAAAAATTAAAATAGCTAATGAAATACCTCTTACGTAGGATTAAAATGTACTGCACATAAATCTTCACTGTATTTTTTTTGGTGTTCGCGTGTCGTAAACATAATCACTGGACCGTCAAGACGTGGTCCGGACTCATATACACCGCGCGAATGAGATTCAGCCCTCTTTTTTTTCAAGGGGGCCGTATCTAAAAAAGAATTAAAAAGTTCCCAAATGCCCCTTCCAATCCACATGTTACAAATTACGAAATATACGTATCTCCTCCTCCTTGCGTCGTATTCCTCATTGCTGACCACCCTTTTGAATCACCTTCGCACGCACGATCTTTCTCCATTTATTCTTGTCTCTGGCGGTGTGGTCATTGTGAAACGTGGAATCAAGAGCGGTGCGGATCTAGTCGGACAACGTATTGGGCTGCGCCCCCGAGGTCTTTTCCCATCTACCTTACCAGTCACGGTGAGCCTCTCGAGATTGCCGCCATCCTTCAGTGCAATGTGACCGAAGTATTCAAGGACTCTGCGAAGACACTCGGATGACGTATAATGATATTGAATATTCTAAAAGTGGTTAAACAATAATAAAATACGTAATTGCGATTTCTGTACTATATTACGAAAACAATATTTGAAAGCCTTTATTATCACAAATTATTGTTAACAAAGTATTCCTGAATTAAATATACTCGTCTTTTTTCTCAATGACAGATTTTTTTTAAGGGATTTTATGACCTGGTAACTTAGACCTTTAAGTCATTTCTTATTTTAAATTTATATTCATATTTTTATGAAAAATGATATTATGGAGTGAAATGATATGAAGATGATTAATTTGAGACATTAATCAACTGGGATGAAATTAAATGAAATGAAATGGGATGAAATATAATCTCAGTAAAATGGTGGTCATTTACTAAGATTTTTTCAGTGGACTTTTTGGAGGATCCCAAGAAGTTACGTCCAGCGGCTTTGTTTCATTTTCCCACATTTGTGCACTTTCACAGATATGAAACTGTTAATAAACCACCATTATTACACATTTAAACCAGAAGAAACACTAAATAGACAAAATAAAACAAATCACACAACTTTACTCCTCGCGTTCCCGCCAAAAAGCCCTCAATGACAGAGAGTTCAGTCAATCATAGATAGTAGTAGTAGTTTTATTTTTCCAAATGGAAAGGCAAAGGCATCATGCCATACAGCCTAGTCTTTTCTTTTTTATTTATTTATTAAATATGATATTATGAAATGAAATGACGTTGATCAATTTAATATGAAATGTGACATGAAATGAAATGATATGGAATGTTTTTTTATGAAAAATGATAATATGGAGTGAAATGAAATGAAGATGATTAATTAGAGACATTAATCAACTGGGATGGAATTAAATGACATGATATGAGATGATATGGGATGAAATATAATCTCAGTAAAATGGTGGTAATTTACAGCGATTTTTTCAGTGGCGTTTTGAAGAATCCCGAGAAGTTACGTCCAACGGCTTTGTTTCATTTTCCCACATTTTTGCACTTTCACAGATATTAAAGAGTTAATAAACCACCGTTATTACACATTTAAACCTGGAAAAACACTAAATAGACAAAATAAAACAAATCACACAACTTCACTCCTCGCGTTCCCGCCAAAAAGTCCCAATCATAGATAGTATAATGAAGAAAAATGTGATGAAAAAATCATTCTTTTTTTTAAACTAAAAAGGTTTTACATAGAACAGGTTTATCTTTACATATGTAATAACAACTAAATATTTAAAAGCTTACCATTGTCGTGGTCACCGACGATGACAAATTTTAATCATTTCTACGTCTAGCAAAGGCCTCGAAAAACTCCAAGTCAAGAATGCATTTATTTCAGGACACACAAAACTCACGGAGAATTCTGCAAATAGCGGTGCTTTGTGTGCGAAGCTGTAATTCACGGAGTCGAGAGGGTGCTGAAACGCTCATGGGGTGACGTCACACGTCACCTTGCCTCATTAACGTGTCTCAAACAGTTAAGCCCCATTCAAGGAGGTGTCTCGCTACTGAGCACTCGTGTTTTAATAAAAAAAGAACTTAGGCTTGGTGACAAAATTATTAATAATTATTATCGTATTTTATTTGGTCATTAAAAAAACCGGTAACAACGTTTATCGCTCCCCAGAATCTGAGAATAAATCGTAAATTGAATTTTTCTAATAATTCATCTAGCGCGAGAGGCATCCGTAGAATCTTACTAGTGGTAAGACCTCTTGTGAATCCGCACGGGTAGGTACCACCACCCCGCCTATTTCTACCGTGAAGCAGCAATGCGTTTCGGTTTGAAGGGTAGGGTAGCCGTTGTAATTATATTGAGACCTTAGAACTTATATCTCAAGGCGGGTGGCGCATTTACGTTGTAAGCAATTAAAAAAAACAGAATATACTGTTGGGAAAATATTTGCATCATAATTTACCTTTATTTCAATCCCACCTATCAGTTTTAATACTGATAATTGTCTCAACATGGGAGTTAAATGAAAAAGCAAACAAAAAAGTAGTTTGCGAAAAATTAATTACTAACTTCGTCCTAACACCTACCCGGTGTTACGTAAATTTCTACTCAGGTCTCGTTTTTACAGGTTTAGTTTTTGGCGAGTCCATAGATGCGTACTAACATCCTGCTCCTTATGACCCACATATTTCGCGTCTCAAAAATAAACATGAACTTCGCTTGAAGTTATTCGCTTATAGTTGTGTAGTTCCTGAGTGAGTGATATAAAAGATATATATCACTCACACCGATAGAATGTATGAGTAACTCAACTAGCTCCAAATGTATCAGTAACTCAGTTCTAGTTCACTAGATCACTAGCTCATTTGTCTCATGACATGTATCGTGAATTTATGAGCGAATGAAAGATTGAAGTTAAAGTGTGTTTGTTATTTGTTATTTCATTCTTGTCTAGTATGAAATTTGTGACTGTGTGGAACTTACAAGCCTCACCAAAGTGAGGCATCAAAAATAAAGTAAGACTCATTTGAGTGTTCCACTCCACGGAAATCTTTAGTAAAAGGCGAAAGATTTTTACGTGTTGAAAGGAAACCAGAGATACTTAACCAATTTATTAAAAATTACTTAAATGCTCTTTAACAAATAATGAATGCACGATTCAGAAGCCCGATTAATGCCATCTGTTGGCAGTATTCGGAGCTATTAAAGAAGCAGACAATGACAGTGATAAATGATATTACACATGCAGTAAAATAACGTAACTTGTGTTGATATAAAGCTCGAAGGTAAGTACAATAATACTACAATTATTTTAACTGCAGATTTACCTATTATAATAATATGTTAGCCACATTTCATTTTCTGTGCAAGCAGTTATACTTTGGAATTAACTCCCTCCAAGCATACGTGCGTGCAAAACCATAGCAGCGTTCAAGAAATCTGTTAAAGAACATAACATATTAAATAAAAGTATATATGTATATATTTGTATAATGTATTATAATATAAAGTAAGTATAATATGTATATGTGTGTGTATTTATTTGTACGTCTATATATTGTTTTGTATCTTGTAATCAATCCACTATGAAATGTTTACTGTATGCACTAAGTTTGTGTTCCTAATTCTCCTTTCCTTCTGCGGGCCTACTGGAAGAGATTTCAACCAAAAATAAGTAGTGCCCTTGTGCTCTGTATCCTTATTGTCGTGTTTCTTCTAACAGCTGTGTGTACAAAATATAGTAAATAAATGAACCATTAGGGTTGGTTCAAAGCTTAGAGGAACGATTCTATTGTGTGAAATAAAAAAGCAGTGTGCGCTTATCAGATATATTTTAGAACCTAATTTTTAAACTAATACAATTTTATTATTTTTCCAAATCACATGTTGTGTTTACTTTCCTCTTTGCGTCTTTTTTATGTTCAAAATACAACCACCTGAAATTTAAAAAGTTTAATTATTTGTCGTGTCATCAAATATGACATTTAAGATTCTTAAAAAAAAAAAGAACTGGCCAAAGTAGGAGCCTTGTCTATACGGAAAAGGCTTGGCCGATGTGCATGGGCATCGATGATCACTCAACAGCAAGTGGCCGATGACCGTCAAAAACTTCATTGCGCTGTCTTAAAAGGGTACAGCCGGATATCATTTTGTATTCCGTAAACGGATACACGAGATCCACCATATACCACCATCCAGCCTGACGGTCCATCACCTTGCCTATTTTTGCCGCAAAACAATCACGCGTTCCATATTTAAGGATGAGACAGCCGTTATGACATCAAAAAAAAAGTCACACAAACCCAAATATGAAAATAGCAGGTAAAGTCAAACTGGCTCCGAGCAGGAAGACAGCACCTGGCAGCACGTTGAGCGTCGCCATGTAGACGCGGGAGTAGAGAGGTCCGTACACCAGCGGCATCATCGCCTCCGCCAGACCGAACAGAGAATTCACCTTGCCTGGATACACGAACTTACTTAGAACATGATATCTATGTTTGTTAGTAGCAGTTTTAGCGGTAGGCAGCGGCTTGGCTCTGCCTCTGGCATTGCTGAAGTCCATGGGCGACGGTAATCACTCACCATCAGGTGGGCGAATGAAAGGCGATTGCATGCAGTAGAGATGCGAATGTTGCGATGGATGTGTGGAGTAATAAGAATACGGAATGAATATGTTAGAGGAAGTCTGAAAGTGGCACCTGTGACAGAAGATGAGAAGTGCGCGTTTGGGATGGTATGGACATGTGATGAGACGAAAGAAAATGAGGTCGGTAAGAGAATGTTAACTATGAATGTGGAAGGATATAGAGGAAAAGGTAGAACTAAGAAGAAATGGATGGATTGCATGAAAGAAGATATGGGTAAGAAGGGAGTGAGTGAAGAAATGGTATATGATAGAGGAGTATGGAAAGACAAAACAATTTGCGCCGACCCCAGGTGACTGGGAGAAGGGCAGGATAATGATGAATGACAATGATGTTAGTAGTAGTCGTTTAGAAGTAGTTAAATGAAAGCAAAACTCCTAGAGTTCTGCAAAAAGTTCTTTGAGATGATCTCACTATCTCCTAGGAGTGGGTAATATCGGTTTTGCCGCGTATCGAATCGTATCTATATATCGAGTATCAATATCGGATATTGAATCTATATATTTTCTGAATCTATATATTGATGAATGCTAGTAGATTTTCTCGATTCATGATATTTGAGATTTGAAACCATACGCTGATATAATATCGTAGTATATAATATATATAATATAGATTTAAGTCAACGTTATACGGTTGGTTTTCTGATACCAATTTATAATATGATTTTAAAGTAATAAAAAGAACATGAAAATAAAAATATCAAAAAAACTTTCCTTCATGCTTTTACCAGGCTTAAGACTGGCTACATTATTTTCAGTTTTTAGTATTTTGTGTCTTAATTTAAAATTACAAAATATACCAAAAGAGTGTAGATTTCAAAAGTTTAATACAAACACAAGAAATAAACTCAATTATTTGGATTCAACTAAAAATAGAAAAATGTGTACTTTAAAAATCAAACACAAAAAACTTTTAAGTATTTATAAACACTTGTCCAAAAATTCTAGTTCAAGGTCAAAGCGCGTGAAATTAAATTCAACGATGCAAATAGGCTATACTGCATTCAAGTTAGGGTCGAAAGTTGAAACTTCTTTCCTAAATTGTATCCTGCTGATACGCTAAGAATAATCTACAGACATATGGACTTAAATATAAGGTTTACAATTGTATGGATAATGCCTGTTTCTGTTTCATTCATCACATGATATCCCTATCGTGCGCTCACTCACTCTGGCCGATTCGATACGAACCAAACGAATATTGCTGATATTCACGAATCGGTACGATATGCCGATGCGCATCACATCGAGTAATATCGTGTATCGGCTGATATCGATATATAGATTTCGATTCACGAATCGGTACGATATGCCGATGCGCATCACATCGAGCAATATCGTGTATCGGCTGATATCGTTATATAGATTTCGATTCACGAATCGGTACGATATGCCGATGCGCATCACATCGAGCAATATCGTGTATCGGCTGATATCGATATATAGATTTCGTGCGGGGCGATATCGGATTCAACGATATTGCTGCGATATATAGATATTGAATCTATATACGATTTATATCACCCACTCCTACTATCTCCTCTTCATAACCGCAGCAACTATCATACACAGAGCAAAGTCCATTCCCACTACAGTAAACCACTACGTTCTTCTATAGTACGATTCAGAAGAAAATTCCTCCTCATCCTCACTTCTAAGTTTTATCAGAATTTCAATTCTTCACGAGCCCGATATCAAATATATTCATAACTTACTATTAACCATTTAATTATGGCTGCCCAGTTGGGGACAAAAATTAAGTGTCTATGTATTACTGTATGCAATTTACATCTTCTTTTTAGTGAAACCACTTATTAAATTAAGCATATGAATTGTTCGGTAGATCCACAAGACAATAGTCATCACAAAGTAAGATGTATTGTCCATCTTGAAACTTAATCTTATAGTCTAGATTATGCTGTTGCAACAGTTATCCCGATTTTCAGAATGAAATGGTATAACTGATTCGCAGTAGAAATAGGCAGGATTGTGACACACATCTTACCCTAATGTAAGTTAATAATGCATGTTATTTGTAGAGATTGCTAGAAGATTGCACAAAGTGGGAATGAGTTGCTCGCTCCGGGCATTTCAATATTGTAATAATTGTTATGTTATAATACTTATTGTAAAAATGAATATTAAAAAAAATCTAATATTAAAAAAATATATATATAATATTAAAAAAAAAAAAGACATGCCCGCTGAGATTCTTGCCAATTCTTCTCAGGACGGAGGCTAGTTCTTGTGAATTGGCGGTAGTTCTTTTGACGTTCAACAAGTATGTACTTTCATTTATGTTGAATATTATTATTATTATTTTTTATAATCACGCCACGTTAACTGTTCCCGTGATAAGTTCGTAAAGAACTTGTGTTACAGGTACCAGATATCGGAAATAAATGTAAGATTTTTATTAAACACATACATATATTTAATATACATCCATAACCCTGGAAAAGATATTTATATTTATCATACAAATATCTTCCCTTGGCGGGATTCGAACCCGCGACCCCCTAGTGTAGTGACCATGTCACTTACTACTACACCAGACGGACGTTAAACGTTTTGATTTGATTTGATTTGTATTGATTAACTTACCAAATTCCTCCCCGCTCACCAGTTTCGTTGCGATCGATCGCATCGCTATGAATGATGTTCCATTTAAAATTTCCATCAACGGAGCTGCGTGAAAAAGAACGTCTGTTAATTTTCTGTCTTTATAAATAACTAGCTTTAGACCGCGACTCCGTCCGCGTGGAATAGTTACTTTAGCATAACGCTAAATTTTACCACCCACTTCATTTACGTAGAAAGTCAAAATATTTTTGAATTATAGAATGTGAAGGAGCTATTTAAACCCCTATTTTGAAACATTCTTTATTGGTGCTCCACCTGTATTGGTCTTAGAGCGATGTTATATAGCCTTCCTCAATAAATGGGCTATCTAACACTGAAAGAATTTTTCAAATCGCACCAGTAGTTCCTGAGATTAGCGCGTTCAAGCAAACAAACTCTTCAGCTTTATAATATTGGTATAGATTTACTATCCGATTTGTACTAGAACAGGAATTCCCAGAGTGGTCCTAGGGGTATAAACGATACGGACTCAACCTAGGAGATTTTGCTGACACTAGCCTTGGCAAGAGCAATGCCTCGCTGAGTCTACCACCGAATCGGAATCGCTACCCTCTGAGAAGATCCCGTGAGAAACTCAGTGGGCGCACTCTACAAGTATGTAATCCCATTCGGCTATACAACGTCGTCACATATGCGCCCGAAACGAAATTTTATAAAAGACTAGCCGTACTCGCCCGCTTCATTGGGCATTTAAAATTAACCTTATTATTTATTGTCATTATTATTAGGGAGTATAACAGTCATATAAATATTAGCCTATCCATTAAGTATAGGTACATGTATTTTCTACATGGATACCAAGTTTCAAGTCAATCGGATGCATAGTTCAATAGTTATAACGGAACATCCGTAAAAACCACTGTAGATTTATATATTAGTATAGATGATATGAAAAGATTCCGCTTGCTGTTACGTAAGCAGACGATTTTGTAAGTCACCTTCATCATTCTCACCGTCGACATTGGCATTGAGATGGCCTTGACCCGAAAAATATTTGAATAATTTCAAAGCGAGATTTCATTCTAAAATACATTCTCAATAAACAACTTGCAAAATCCATATGAAATATCTTTCGTAACTGATACTTAGCTCCTGTATTTAATATTATCCTTTTTTTTCATAAAGGTGAACAATAAAACTTACTCTACCTTCATCACTAATAACAACGCGCTTTGTAATTCTACAAAGCGTGTTGTTTCAGCTATTTTGCGAACCATTGAAAATCCAGTAGGTATAACGAACAACAAAATTTATAACTAGAGAATCGCAGATATCTCATGCACTTCTTATCTGCAATTTACGTACTTAATTATCAGTTTGTTTGACTGCCATTCATATTTGCTATGTGCTTATGATAAATAAAATGAACTACTACAAATACTGCAGTACAATATTTGTTTTAATAAGTTTATTACGTTTTCTAGTAAATTTAAAAGAAGATTCTGATTAAAATTAAATAAATAATTTAAATATTCCTTTGTACATCCATTTAACAATTGTTGAGTTAAGCTCGCCATTTTTTATATGTTATCGCAATTACTGTATTATATTAACAGTGTGTACAAATAAAGAATAAATAAAATAACAACATAAAAGGTCGAAATATTAATAAATTATATATATTAATAAATATTATAAATAGGAGATGTATGGAAATGGTAGTGCAAGGTAGAGGGGGAAGAGGTCGACCGAAGAAGACATGGATAGAGTGTGTGAATGACGATATGAGAGAGAGAGAGAGAGAGGAGTGAGTGTTGAGATGACGGCTGATAGAAGAGAATGGAAGATAAAAATTAGCTGTGCCGACCCCACATAGTGGGATAAGGTGGAGAAAAAGAAGAAGATAAAAGGTCGAAATATTAATAAAGATTTAGTTATTGAAATGTAATGTTTGCAAACACTGGTTTGTTTTGATTTCATTAAAAAAAAGTCGTTTTTACGTTAAACGAAAACAGTCCGCCGAAAAGCTCAAGTTTTTCGAAAATTTAATGAAGTTGACGTGATAGAGTTGTTTAAGTCGATGAACACCGGCTGCACGCATGAAAGAGTGTCACGTTCTTTTGAGCCTGAGCGTGCAAGTGAGAACGCGGAACAAGCGATAGAGAGGCACGATCGGCCCAAGCGTTAATTAATTGAAAAAATAAAAATTTTCAATTATCTCCGTCTTTGATAGAAGATAGATACATAATACTGATAATTCCGTGATAATAATTCAATTGAATTCATAAGAGTATGATTTTTTTCATCAGTGTTTCTTTATAAAATTAGGTCCCTAGCACACGGCGTATTTAAAACGTGCAGACGAGACGTGTTTCAGGAACGCGCGTCATATGCGCCGTAGATGCCGATTTTTGGGTTTGTGTAGATTCAAGCACGCGTAAAACGCGATGCAAACGCGCGTGTGGGGCGCATTTGTATTGCGTCCGAAGGGGTAGGGGTAGAGGAGGGCGCGCGCTCACGCCGTCGCACTACCCCGACTACCCGCACCCTTGTACAACTAAACTGATCTGATCAAAACGTAAAAGCTACGAGCGACCACAACGCGTATGTATCGCTGTATCTGCGCGTATACGCGCAGTAGACGCGCGCTTCACGATCACCGTGTGTACTTATAGTCCAAGATCCCAGGGCTCCCAGACGTCACGTATTTTCTGACGCTTTCTGTCCCTAAATTCAATTTAATACCTCTGTGGGTAAGAGCGCGAGGGCATTATTAACCACGCACATGAGACTGAGTGAGACATGTATCAGGATATATTGACTTCTCTGTCTCTCTGTCACTTACGTGAAGTAGGTAATGATTTTATGTACCTTGAGTACCTGATACCTGAAAATTGGCCGCCAAAGCAAGGTAGCAGGTAGGCATGTGTTCTTAGTACATACTAACACTACGCAATCGGCCACATTTCGTTCGTCAGAAAATACGTGACGTCTGGGAGCCCTGGGATCTTACTCTATTAGGGTTACTAGGTTCGTTCGAATCTCGTTTGAAGCGCGTATACGCGCGTCATCTGCGCGTCGACTGCGCTTTTTAAATACGCCGTGCGCTATGGGTCTTATCCCGTAAAACTATCGTCCGTAAACCGACTTTACAGACAACCATTTTTTGTTTTTCAAAAACTTTTGATTTTTTAAGGCTCGGGCCATATTATTTGTAACTGTGGAATCAATCAACCGCGCACACTTAGAACGCACCCTATGCAGTACCTATTTTATAGTCCTACAATAAGATTACATACGTACATAATATTATATAGGTATGACAAAATATTAAATCTCTTTGCCGGTTAAATATTTTACAATAATTGACAACTGTAGTAATCATTTTAATTTTAAATGTGATAAAAAACTTTTTTTATTGCCTTTGCAGGCAGACGAAAATACGGCCCACCTGATAGTAAGCGGTTACCGTCGCTCAGAGACGTCAGCAACGCCAGTGGCAGAGCTAAGTCGCTGCCTACCATTGAGTACTCTCTGCAAGCCACGTTTGAAGAAGGACATGTCATAATGCTCGGTGTTTCCCGTGGAGGGGGGAGCTCATTCCAAACCGGATCGTACGTGGCAGAAAAGATCTTTGGAGTCGCAATGTCGATGAACGCAGCGGTTTCAGATAGGTAGGACCTCTTGTAAGTACGCACGGGTAGGTACCACCACCCTGCCTATTTCTGCCGTGAAGCAGTAATGCGTTTCGGTTTGAAGGGCGGGGCAGCCGTTGTAACTACGAGTATACTTGAGACCTTAGAACTTATATCTCATGAGCTCGCTTCGCTGATATGAGCGAAAACGAAAATATTTTATGAGAGCTTATGAAAGTTAATAATAAAAACGACTCGAGCTCCATCTGTCGTCCACAAAACAACGACCTCGAATTAACAAGGCGATCGGACAAACGACAATCAACGCATACAAAACAAACAGTGTGCTTAGTGCGAGTTTTTTAACGTTCTCGATAGCGTAAAAGTTAACTCAAATTTGTATGCAGTTGGAACAGCGCCCCTAGCGGTAAACGAAGGCAAACTTCCAACTCCATACAAATTTAAGTTAAATTTTACGAACGTTAAATAGCTCGCACTAAGCACACTGATCCCAATAACTACATTTTGCGTTTTAAATGTGAGTTTATAACATAAAATTAATAGTTGAACAGCGTCTAATCAAATATTTAATAGTGCACATTAAACCCTTTCACACAACAATATCTGCGTAAATAACAATGTAATATCCGGACGAGGGTTCCATCGTAAATAGCGGAGTCGTGTTTGAAAGTTTAGGTAGTTCGTAAGTTTACGTGGCAACTTACACGGGTGTAGGCCGTGCACCGAGTATTGGTTCCACGAAGTAAATCACAACTACTTATGAGGGTTTACACTTTCATTGGCTTCGACGTCCATAGAGTTTTGTAACGTTTAGATTCGTCAAGTGTTATTAATTCTCTAAACTCATTGTCAAATTCAATCGCTCATATTACGAAATGAAAACATTGGGGTAAGGCGAGCTGAATTTTGTTCAGTTCAACGCATTGAAACACTTTTTTTTTAATTCCTTAAATGGGTGGACGAGCTCACAGCCCTCCTGGTGTTAAGTGGTTACTGGAGCCCATAAACATCCACAACGTAATTACGCCACCCACCTTGAGATATAAGTTCTAAGGTCTCAAGTATAGTTACAACGGCTGCCCCACCCTTCAAACCGAAACGCATTACTGCTTCACGGCAGAAATAGGTTGGGTGGTGGTACCTACCCGTGCGGACTCACAAGAGGTCCTACCACCAATAAACTGTGTAGATTGGTAACAGTTGACCAACTACGCGAACCTGTATACTAGTACGCAACCAGTGTGGTATCCTAGAGTGGAACCCCATCTCTTTCCTTAGGTATCGCTAAATACGCTGGGAGATTCATTGGAGAATGTGCAGCAACGTTATTTGAGTGTTATATCGCCAATCGGCATTTACTGGTGACACTGGTGACAGGGTATGGTGTCAGCACTACGGGAAGATACCATGATCCTGCTTATTGCCGCTAAGATGTGCATTTCACTTCGAATTTCGGGACAGGCGTCATATAAAGTGATAGAGACTTTTAACTCATTTGTCAAATCACTGATACCTACTTTACACCGCGTGGGCCATGATCTCATTTATCTACTGTTAATATGTATGTAACCTCTATACGATTAATCCTTAAAGAGGTTAATATGTTATTTATATCATTCTTCTATAGATGACATAAATAGAATTTCGATTATTGAAACATTAGAACATTAGACATATAAAGAGCATTTTTGCAATATTAAAATATAAAAAGATATAAAAATAATGGTGAAGCAATAGTTTTAAATGTTGTTTCTCTTTATAAGAGCAACTCAATTGCTATAGTTTTACAAAGCTAAACTGTATTTTGATACAAATGAAATAATACGTTATATGTATAACAACCTAATTCTACGCACACATTCACTTGGTTAATAAAAACAGATTTTTTTATTATCTCAATGCTTACAAATAATTTAGGTAAATTTGTCGCTACGGTTGCACAGCTCTAAATCATGGCCACCTTGACACGAAGACAAATCACAGAATGCACTATTCCGAAACAAATGGACCTCATACCGGTCTTAGGGTCACCCCCTCGCTATTTGGGATGCGGAGCGGAAAAATAGAACAATAATTCTAGAAGTAGTAAATGGCACTTAATTGGCACACTCTAGCATTTAATCAAAAGAGCTAAGGTCTACTCATCTATTCATCTTTATAATAATCTAGTTAGAAAAGTTGAAAACCTTGACATATTTGGCGATTCCCTTCCAATATTTAAGAACAAAATTATAAAAAGTTGTTGTTGAACCTCAGCTTCGGCCTTGGTCTGAGTACTCGGGTATTACTGTCCTTGTTGTCTTTCTGTTTTTAATTTTTTATTATTATTTATAGTATTGTTAAATCTCTATTAATATGTTAATGTAATGCATGCTGTGATTGCCTATAATTAGAGTTGCAGTTATCAATTGCTCTATACATGTCAATGTTATTTTATGTCTTACTGTAAATCCTGTCGGTAATCCTTAAATAAATAAATAAATTTAATGTATCGTATAATAATCCAAACTATGTTTGTGAACCAGCGTAGGATATGCAAGTAGGCGAAGCTTAAGTTACTCTATCAAAACAACAACAAGTGGCTCAGTAGTCGTGGCGGTGATAAGCTTGTACACCACGCTAACTGTGTCACCTTGCTCACGGCTTGCCTTCTAGTTCTGACGCGAAACGTTCAGCCACAAAGAATTTTAGTAGGTTTGATCGCCCCAACGCTTGGACAGAAGCCCGGCGATTTCGAAAAACAAAAGAATGAAAAAGCACATAAATAAAGTTGTTAAAAATAAAAAAATATAAATATCCCGTCTATAAGTTATAAAGTGAAAAGTGTCAGTGTGATTTTACGCCACTTATTATCAAATACTGTACAAATTGATAATCATATTTAACAATTTATATAGTTATAAAACGTTCAAAAGTCGACAGCCCTAATCTCGGCCCTGTATCATGATTACTCACCGATATATATCTCCAAGTTGTTCCTGGCGAAAGCGTATACGAAAGCTCCCATGATTTTGCTGATAATGGATATTATTCCTAGTATTGTGTCATCTACTTTCAGGTAATTGCTAAAGAGACTCATCGAGAACAGTGTACCTGAAGAAATGAAACTCCATAAGTTTATGTTTTAACTCATAAAATGGCTTTATTGTGAACAGTTACCTATGCAGTGAACTGCTCGAACAGTATGACGTAAAACCTAGCTCATACCATCAGCGCAATGAGCTTCTTACGAACTTTTCAGCGGGTACTGGTGGTAGGACCTCTTGTGAGTCCGCGCGGGCAGGTACCACCGCCCTGCCTATTTCTGCCGTGAAGCAGTAATACGTTTCGGTTTGAAGGGTGAGACAGCCGTTGTAACTATACTGAGATCTTAGAACTTATATCTCAATGTGGGTAGCGCATTTACGTTGTAGATGGCCATGGGCTCCAATAACCACTTAACACCAGGTGGGCTGTTAGCTCGTCCACACATCTAAGCAATAAAAAAAAGGTCGGATAATAGATTCACTAGTAAAGAAGCTGCCCTTAGCTACTAGGACCCCTGCAGAGGCACTCGGGCTGCTGTTAGCAAATCCGACCCTTCCTGGTAGGTTCCGTGCTAATTAAGCCCTCTGGGCCACTACCAAACCCTCTATACCAAGGAACAAAAAAGCAGCCATGTGTTCCGGCTTGAAGCTTTCAGTGCGCATATCACGCATATCTGTGGAGTTCGGTAACCACTTAATACCACATGGACCATGACCATGCATTATTATTGCAAGTGGTGATTGAATACTTGGTTATTTATTTAAAAGGCATTTTTAAAATGTCCAACTGAAGGAAAAGGTATTCCTTTTAAAGGTAAGCCTTTTGCTTCGTAAAAGAAATAGGTAAGTTGAGGGTACCTTAAAAATGCAGGCCCACCATTTAGATCTATACTTGCCAATTCATTAATTAAACAAAGACTCATATAAAAATTATCCTTACCTATTAAATTAGTTAGCATAGCGTATGTAGACCAAAAACTGAATTGAATTTCATTCCAATTGAATCTATATCTCGCGAACAGATACATCACGGTGAACTCACCTGTAATATAAGATTAGTGTTAAAGATTATAACTGACCAAAGTTTCGGACAATTTACTGAAATTTACAGTCTTTTGCCAAATGTATTTATCCACCTTGAGTTTTGAAGCTTAGCCATAAATCAGTGCGTCTTTGCTTCCAAATTATCAACGCAAGACGTGGCGAAAGAAGCATAAAACAACTTTATCTTATATTGTATGTAACGATTGTAGTTAAGATTACCATGCATTGGTCCAAATACGACACAGACCACTATTAGCAGTAAAGCCACACGCAATCGTCGATTTCCTGGCCCCTTCTTAAATGCCACCTTAAAAGTCTCCAAAACTAGCCGGACGTCAAAGAATTCTCTTAAGAAACTTCCGCAACCAGACTTTTTGCTCTGAAAACACAATGAGGGTAGCCAATTCAGTAATCACATCAAGTAATTAAGCATCTGAACATAATTAATTATAACTCGGCTAGTAAAATTTTACCTCTTTCTCTTCGACAACTTTATTCGGTTCTTCCAAATAGTAGTAGCCATAGACCAGACTGAACAAGTAAAGCATTACTGACAACGTAAAAACGCCGTAGTAGCCAATCAAATTCAATAGAATCCCACTTAAAGCACTGCCGATCGGATAACCAAGAGACATAAACATGTTGACCAAACCGACTCTGTAAGTTCGGTTCTCCACTGTAGTTATATCACCTACATAGCTAAAGGCACCAATGAAATTCGTGAACCATCCCCCAGTGATCGCCGGGAAAATAGATTCAGTAAACGCCGTCACTTCAACAGGTAATTCATAAAAGAAATATGTGTTTACGATGAAACCCAAACAAGATAAAAATTCACCAACTATCGGCAGCAAAATGCACGCTTTTCTTTTACCAGTCTTGTCGCTCCATGCCCCGACGAATAATATCACACATACTGGTATAGCCGTTTGCACAACGTTTTTCCAAACTTGGACACTAGCTATCAGTCTTTGTACGTTTTCTTCCGCCTCCGTGTAGTTTTCCGTTTGTCGTAATGTTAAAGCCGAGCAGACCTCGTCTGAGTAATTAAGGTTTACTCTACAAGCCTTGTCTAAGCTCAGATTCTGGACCGCCAGTGAGGCCAGAACACTGGGCATCACGTAACAAGCCATTATAGGCTCCACGGTTGTGTTATCTTTTATTAATTTCAATCGTTGTTTGAATGTAAGCTTTTTTATTTCGCAAACGTTTTCAGATTTCAACGGGCATGTTTCGTGGGATCCTTTCGAGCACTCTTCGTCGTCACAAACCTTCAGGTCTTTAACGGCCATTGTATTGCATAATAGATACTTTTGTGGTCGATAGTGAATTTAATGAGAATCAAACAGTTACTGTTGTCGAACAATCATTTATAATGATTATATTCGCGTATTTACTTGTTCTTTATATAATAGTACTCGATAAATCTCAATATTTGTAGAGTATTAGTGTCTCAGTTAGATAAAACTGATGTTTGTTTCTGAACGTGATTGCAGCGATGCGGCGTATTCAAAAGATGATATAATTGTAGAAAACAAAGGAACTATGTACCGTTTTTTAGTGTAAAATTTGTTGCTTAATTTTAGCTTCGTATAGATAGTGCATACCAAGACGCATGATTATTTTCATATGAATGGCATCACATGACATAACACCATTCCCAAGCAAGCCGTAAGGAATTACTAGTCTAAAATACCTACGTGATTAACGGAAAACAATACCGACCATGAGGCCGCTGACCCCCACGAGTTATTCAATTTGTATTTATCTTACATTGCGTGTAATGCAAAAATCATTAGTAATGTTTAATATCCCGAATAACTATTGAGAGATATTTTTAAAGCTATTTTAGTTCGCTAATCGTTGTGATGTTTCCTTGTCGTTAAAATTAAAGTCACAATGAATTAACCCACTTGGATAAAGCGGCACGACACGAGAACCCTCTCATCGTGGCCGCCGGTAACTACATTCCCGATCCTGCAGAAAGAATGGAAAGCAGTCGACGTCGCCCAAAACACGTCATCTCGGATCCTCCCAATCCACTAACGGTGCTTCTAGGTACTTCAAGCACCGGTCACCGTAAGTTAACTCTCAGACACATCCCACTGAGTTTCTCGCCGGATCTTCTCACTGGGTCGCGTTTCCGATCCGGTGGTAGATTCTGCGAAGCACGGCTCTTGCTAGGGTTCGTGTTAGCAACGTCGTCAGGTTTGAGCCCCGTGAGCTCACCTACTAGTTAAGGTTACGCTGGAATAGCCTCTCAAGGCTGCAATGAATTAAGGCTATGAATTAACAATATTATTATAACTAACTAGCTGTACTCGTCCGCTTCGCTGGGCATTTAAAATCTATTATATATTAATACGTGAAGCAAAAACTTTGTATCCCTTTTTACGAAAATTGCGCGGACGGAGGAGTATGAAATTTTCCACACTTATAGAGAATATAGAGAAGAAGTGCATAATGCTAATTTTTTTTTAAATAATGCAGAAAAGATACATTGTATCCTTCGATCAACAATAGTTACTATTGTTGATCGAAGATTGTATCAATAAAGAAAACATTACACACACTACATACCATGTATTTGATGCACACACGCATGCACACTATTTATTGTCAAACTTTTGTTCTTGACGTCTGTGCTCAAATTGAGAATAGATTAAATATTGTTTGTCTTTATTAATATTTTTTTATAGTGTAGCCTTGGCGAAATTTGTGATTATAGAAGTATAAAATACAATCATAATAGTGTACAAACTTACAATGCCAATTAATTATAGTCGAATTTCGACTATTGCGGGACCTCTAGTTAACATTAATACTTCTCACCTCCCACAAAGATTCTCATCATTAACGCCCCCAACTGTTGTAGGGAGTCCAACACGCACAGAAATATTTCAACACTGTTGTATTATATTCATAGAAATTATAACTAATGATGATTTCAATGAAGTGATAGTTGCAGAATTTCTTAAGAAGCAAAAGGCTAACATCACGCAGTGTTCCCAGGCGGTCACCCATCCAAGTACTGACTGCGCCCGACGTTGCTTGACTTCGGTGATCGGACGAGAACCGGTGTTTTCAACGTGGTATGGACGTTAGCTGGATGGCTAGATAAAATAAAAGGTCACATATAGTTAAACTTTTTAATTAAAAATTAAAATTATTATTAAAGTATAATATTCTATTTAGACTTCGATCACAAATCAATAACACTTTTGAATCAGAATACAAATGACACAATATCAGATAAAAAGTTATTTTACATGACGTGTTATACATACAGCTTTATCCGAGAAACTACGAGTATTGGTAATGTTAATTCTAGCCTGTATTTAAAAAAAAAGCTAGTTTTAAAGAACGGAATAACAATTCCTTTAAAACATTCATGGCTGCATTCTTAATGACATTGTAAAAATCGAATCTCTATATTCTAAGGGTTATCTGTGGCTTATTCATTTGACTGTATTTCTATTTTTAAACTGTAAATGTTATTTGCAATAGATTTTCTTTTATTTTCTTTTATCTTAACAGTATTTATGGCCAGACTAAGTATACTCTTCGTTTATTGTCAAACTTTTGTTATTATTTAAAGTCCGTAGTCAAATTGATAGATTAATATTGTTTGTCTGTAATATTATTTATCTGTGTAGTTTTGACGAAATCTGTGATTATAATAGGAACTAAAATAATTGTCTTTGACAATAGAAACAAAACAATGTACAAACTTATAATTTCAGTTAATTACCTAGTCAGGTCATAAATTCTGTCACATGTTTAATGTAAAATAATTGAAACAAGTTTATTCATTATGTAACCATTCATATACCAAAATGAACTTAACAAAACATAGATTCTTATGACACTAAAGTTTATTCCAAATGACATCCGTGATTTTGAATACAGGCCTTCAATCTGCGCGGCCAGTCGTCTATCGCAGCACGAACGAGGTCCACGTCAATATCGGCGGCTGCCTTAATCAAGGATGTCTTGAGTGACTCCAAATTAGGATGAGGCTTTGAGCACACCTTTTCCTCCAAGTGTTGCCATATCTTTTAATCTAACGGATTCAAATCTGGACTGGAGGAGGGCCAGTCTTCGTGCCGGATGAAGTCGATTTCACGCGCCGCCAGCCAGTCTTGTGTGCTCTTCGCTCTGTGAGCTGGCGCCGAATCTTGTTGGAATACCCAGTGCCTGTTATTGAACATGGTATGAGAAACAGGTTCCACAAGGTTCGTCAGGACTGTATTTTGATACACAANATTTGAAACATATGAAATATACATGAAAATCAGCCAAAAGTTAGTTATTAAAAATATATATATTTTATATATATATTTATATATTTTTTATAGATTTTTAATATATTGTTTATGTATTTAGAAATAATTTTTTTCCTGGGAGTAACTAAATTTGTTTGTGCAAAATTAAGGAGATTATTATTTTTTAATAACTAACTTTTGGCTGACTTTCATGTATATTTCATATATTTCAAATTACTTTTGATGTGCTAAAATTTTTCGTAGGTCACTCAGGTATATAAGTTATCTAAAAATAGTTATAAATAGGCATCTACGCATATAATTTAAAGAAGATTCGACAACTTTCTCCAAATATTGTAGATGTCTTATTAAATATGAATTTTATTAACTTATTTGTTTGTTAATTATAGTACTATATTTTGATTTGAAATTTTTTTCTATCAATGTAACATGTAATCTTATGTTTTTCGAGTAATTTACCATTTTTTATTAAAATAAAAAATGGTATATAATACTTAAAAAAATATATTCGAATTCGAGATTTTTTTCGATTTTTTGCATTTTCTGAGAAGATTTACTATAGTAACATAATTTTTTTTTCACCATCGGAAAGTAGAGATTTCAACGAGCAGAAAACATACCAACTTTTTGAAAAAAGCTGATACTTTGACGGGTGAATTTTCGATTGAAAATTAGGGTCCTTTTTCGATATTAATTCAAAATAAGGTGAAAAAATAAATATTTCTAATCAAATAAATTACAGCGTATTTGAGACATAAAAAGGTAAGTTTTCAACAAATTTCGTAAAATTTTTTTTTTTGAAAAAGATAAAAATAAAAAACCAAAAACTTGGTTTTTTTAATTTTTTACATAAATTTTGAGGTTATGTGAAAAAAGTGTAAATACAAAGGTGTTAGATCTTTTTATTACCTACAACTTTGCCATTTGACTTTTTTCCATAGGACTTTTAGTTTTGCCGGAAATCGAGAAAAACCGTTTTTTACCCTAAACCTACCCCCCCCCCCAACCCCTTCCCGACCTCACATCGCCCGTAAATTATTTTTCCTTTCATTTTTATAATATTCCCCTCCTTTTGTAATGGGTTTCATCCTACTATTATTTTTTTTGGTTTTAAAAATTATCGACACTGGTCTAAATGCTAATTTTTTTTTTAAATAATGCATAAAATATACATTAAATCAATAAAGAAAACATTACACACACTACATACCATGTATTTGACGCACACACGCATGCATACTATTTATTTATTGTCAAACTTTTGTTCTTGACGTCTGTTGTCAAATTGAGATTAAATATTGTTTGTCTTTATTAATATTTTTTAGAGTGTAGCCTTGACGAAATTTGTGATTATAGAAGTATAAAATACAATATCATAATAGTGTACAAACTTACAATTCCAATTAATTATAGTCGAATTTCGACTACTGCGGGACCTCTAGTTAACATTATTACTTCTCACCTCCCACAAAGATTCTCATCATTAACGCCCCCGCAACTGGTGTAGGGAGTCCAATACGCACAGAAATATTTCAAAACTGTTGTATTATATTAATAGAAATTATAACTAAATTTAATGATAATTTCAATGAAGTGATAGTTTCAGAATTTCTTAAGAAGCAAAAGGCTAACATCACGCAGTGTTCCCAGGAGGTCAGCCATCCAAGTACTGACTGCGCCCGACGTTGCTTGACTTCGGTGATCGGACGAGAACCGGTGTTTTCAACGTGGTATGGACGTTTGCTGGACAGTCAGGTAAAATAATAGGTCACATATAGTTAAACTTTTTAATTAAAAATAAAAATTATTATTAAAGTATAATATTCTATTTAGACTTCGATCACAAATCAATAACACTTTTAAATCAGAACACAAATGACACAATATCAGATAAAAAGTTATTTTACATGACGTGCTATACATACAGATTTATCCGAGAAACTACGAGTAGGTATTGGTAATGTTAATTCTAGCCTGTATTTAAAAAAAAGCTAGTTTTAAAGAGC